GTAAAAACGATGTCACGCAATTCAACAAATTTCACGCAAATATCAGTCTTTAAGATCCAAAGTTATAAAGACATAGAAAAAGTGATAGCAGAACTAGATTAGAAGTTCTGCACTAAAAATCACATGGAGATGCCAAGTTTCATTCATATGCTCAAATTCATTACTGACTTATGAACAGTTTTTCCTCAAAATACATCAAAACATCTTGTCCCACATTTTGGCGATTTTTTCCTATATGAAGGTCCTCCAACATTTTGCAAACAAAAATCCCAATAACTTTTTTATTTAGTAATGGATTTTTAAAATTTAAAAACCATAGTTCTTAAATTTACTTTATTTTCATTTAAGCCCATTTTTAAACAATTTGGATGAAAATTTGATTGTTCATTGTCATTGCTACTTTATTCGGACTCGAGTCCGAAAAACATTTTTTCATTCATATTCGAACTTGAGTCCGAATAAAAAAATTTCTTATTCGGACTCGAGTTAATTTGTTTTGCTTTTTTTTTATGAAGAAAAAAAATCTCTACTTTTATCTTGAATGGAAATCAAGAAGATGGCCACCAAAATTTGGTGATGTCAAAAGCTTTATGACTGTAAACATTTACTTTTTTTTTTGCTTTAAAGTCAGCCTTTTAAAATAGTATCCACAATGTGTTTTTAAATCGACATTTCATTAAAGGTGTTGGGCTGAAAAAATATAAAAGTTGCCTAATCGGTGGAAAAAGACTGTGTTTCTTCAATTTCGTTTTTCCGACGAGTGCCTGATTTCACCACAGTGCCTTGCATTTTTTATAGTTAATAGTATTTTTTTTTGTTTCAGTTGATAGTCTTTAAAGCTTTGTGTATTGATCACTTTTTTATGAAGTTATGGTTGGTGCTCAAATGCGGGGTTTTCGCATTACAAGTCCAGGTTTTATAATTAGGAGGGAAGTAGATCAAAGGCTTTTGCTGCAAAAGATCAGTTTTAATTGTTTATTTGTGTATGTGTGTTTTAAAATTTTGAGTTAATGCAAGCTGAGTGTGGAAAAAACATTCTATTAATTCAGATGTCTCAGTCTAAACGCCGTCTAAACACACTGAAGTGACTGTGCAAGTACTGTTTTTTGTTAAATCATTATCAGGGCTATAAAATTATATTTTAAAAAATTGTTTGTTAATAGTTTTCTAACTTCAAATGTCAGGTTTCGGTATTATTGATTTTTTTCTCTCTATGGTCTCTCGTTTGGGTTCTTTTTCTATAAGTTTTACACAAATATTGAGTTTATATTAGTCACGAAATTTTATGTAGACCTAGTATTTGAAATATTTGATGGTTTTTATTAAAAAAGTGTTCGCACTTAGCTTACATCATGTCCAATAGCAATTGTAATTTCCATGCTTTGGACCTATCAGGGGATTCTTCACGGGGGCATGCCACCCTGAAGTTTTAAAAAAATGGGGTTACAGGGTGGTATGCTCCCTTGTTTTTCCCCATAATTCCATGTTTTGTTAGGTTTTAAGTTTTCTTAAAAAAATAATTGATTTCACACTGCGACAGTTTTATTGACCATAACTGCAGCAAAAAATACTCAGTTTAATCCCCAAATCAGTGTATCAAATCAAATGTGCAGGAGGGAAGGTAAAAAATACCCAGGTATCCTCTGATTGTTATGGTTTGGGTTGCCTTCTTGTGTACAGTATCCTCTGAAGGCGTGGTGTTTCCATCTCATCTCAGTCCCTACTCTCGACTTAAAACAACCTGAAAAGCACTAAAGGCTTCCTGTATTCTTTTGAAAAGCATGAAAAATTTTCTGTTACCAAAAATATCTTTCAAAAACATATTTGTAAATAGTTCTGTAAATTTAAATCAGGTTCTTGGTATTATACTTGCACTACCGTCTCACGCTGAGGTATTTTATAGCTCTTTTCTTGTTCATTTTTATCCGATTTACACAAATATTGACTTTATATTCGTCTTATGTTTTCAGCGTTAGAAAAGAGTAGAATTTCTAGTTTATTTGTTTCATGTGCTACTACCAGAAGTTTAATTTTTTAATAAACTTTGTTTCTGAATAGCTGAAGCAGTTCCAACGGCATCGTAGCGCATCTCGGACACGGGACTCTGCTGAGCGAGAGCTGCCTAGGGGTCATGCAGCTGAAAGGTCCCCACGTAGTGCCTCCCCTCGCAATGCATCCCCACTTCCTGCTGAGGTGAGCTAAGGAGATTTTTAAATAATGATTTCCATCTTTCTGGGTTTTCTTATTATGTGTTTGGAGAGTATCAGTGGACTTCCTGCCTGTTTGTCTTATTCTGCATATTGCTTTTTTCTAAATCGCACAAAATTAACTGTCTCCTAAATAATCTAATAATAGTGTTGATAGGGGTGTTATATCTGTACAATTTTCTCAAGATTAGTTTTGTTTTTGTTGCATATGTTCTTGTTTTCTTTAGTTATGTTTGTGTGGGCATATTGGACTTTCTTTGGTTACATGAAGTTTCTTGTCATAATTTGTTACGCATTCTCTGTATTTGTTGTTTTCATTGTTGAAGGGGTAGGGCTTGTTTGAGTAAAGCAAAAGAAACAAAAGGAAGTTGTGGAATAGGTGAAGGACAAAAAGATAAAATAAGAAAGATATGGGGGTGGTAAAGGAGGGAAGGTGGGCAAAAATTAATTTTAATTTTAGACAGAGGGTTTGTGTTTACAATTTTTAAGATTCAGAGTATTAATTTTGTTTTTTTTCTTGGTATGCCCAAAATGTTTTTCTTTTCTTTTTTCCAGCAAACTGAGACCACCAAGGATGTGGTTGGTGTAAATTCAAATGGGTCGAATGCTGAGGAACTTGTCGATGACATTCGGTGAGTCCGGCGAATTTGCTTTCAACTCCATGTAGTAATTAGTCAGTGAAGATTTGCAGGTCACTGAGATCCCAGGAACAGGTTGATCGGCCGGGTGATGCTTGTGCATTGTTATTGCCAACAAAACACAATGTTTCAAACATTTTGTTTCTTGTCTTATGAAAGTTCATACCACTTTCTTTTCTAATGCGTGTCTGTGGTGTGAATGTTTTTTTGGGGTTTTTTAAGTTACTACCCTGTGGGTTGAAAATGTCTTTAAAAAAATGTTGACTTCTGATTTTCACAATTTGCTTCTTGCCAGCCACTGCTCCGTCTGTCACGTACACTTCACAAAAAATTTAGGACAGGAGTCTAAAATAAGATGTCGATGCATTTTATTTCTAGATTGAGAAAAGAAGGGAGTTTGAGCCCGGATGGGGGTTTCTCTGGTGGTGGTGTCAGTCTTTCCTGTTTACTTCTATACTGTAATACCACTATCACACCAACCTGTTCCTGGCTATGTGTGACTGCGATCACTCTGTCTCACCATAAGCTACAACTCAACAACCTCTTCTGTCTTCATTGTCTCTCATTCCTGTCTGATGCCTTGTTTATTTCGCAGCACTGTGTGACATGAATATTACCTGACTGAGACTGTATATGATTGGGGAGTGCCCTTGGAGAATTTGTACTTCTTTCCTGTCCCTATGTAGGGTGTGGTTTGGTTTGCTCCTGCTTTCCTATCAAACATCTCTATAAAGATATCTCTCCTATCCTTCTTCTTTTCTTTGTATGTTACTCTCAAATAACACTTTTATAACGTATTTTATTATATCATTTAATTATGTATTTTTGTTGCAAGTGCTGCAAAACCCTTACTGAAACTGAACCTGTCTCTGTCAAAGGAGCAACTCTATAGTTGTGGGTCCTCTGCTGAGTGCGGCTACTTCTTATTTTCAGAGCTTCCACTGTTTGTGGTTGGCAGGTGCTCTGATGTGGTTTGCTACTTCTTTTCTTTATATATATCGCCTTTATCTCCTCTCCTCTTTTTTGTTTTTGTTACTCTCTAATCTTCGGCTCCAATATTATCATATTGTGTTGCAAGTGCAAAGAGTTTCCATTGTCTCATAGTGATATCCCAGGGAAATGAACTCATTATCATAGGTAGTCACAGTGAGTTACTTCTAGTTTGTGCTGCATTTCCCAGTACTAAATGCCTGTGTATGTGGTTGGCAGGTGCTCTTGTGTGGTTCGCTCTTTCTTTCCTATTTAACATCTATCGCCCTTATTAAATCTCTCCTCCTTCTTTTTTGTGTATGTTACTCTCTTGTAACACACTTATTCTTCGGCACTTATATGACCTTATTGTGTTGCAAGTGCCTTAAAACTCTTACTAAAACTAAAAATGCCTGTGTGTTGCCTGTGTGTTTGGATGGTTAGAGGGCATGTCTTGCTAGTTGTACTTTTTGTGCTATTTCGTCAGCCAGCCATTTTTGTTGTCAGTCTGTCTTGCTTTTGTCCAGCACTTTTTTACTTTCTTTGTCTTTGAGCTTTTCCTTTGACTCCAAAAACCACAAGAACTCAATATTACCAATCTGATTTACTGCATGACTGGGACAGACTCTTGATCTAGTATTCTTCTTTCATTCCAGGACGACAGCATCAACAGAGAGTCTCCAGCAACTGTCTAGGCAGATCAACGGTTTGCTGTCTGAGGTAAACACTCAGACATGTTGCTCCATGCTTATTTGTCCCAGCTTCTCTTACCGCTCTGTTTGCAATGGGCATTCTCATAGGGAGCATATAAAAGGAAGGCCTCCATAATTTCTTCATTGTAGCACATTTTTCATCAGTCTTTCTCAGTGCAAATTTTCCATTTTGAATGGTTACTTTTTTTAATAACTTCAGATACAAGAAAAATTGTTAATTATGTTCACTGATGGAAAATTGTGGCTTTGATTGAGCTTAACTTGGACGTTTGAAGAGGCTGTATAAGTGACAGTGACAAGGTTTTGTTTCTTTCATTTGGTACCAAAGATAATGAACTTTTGAGAGAACCAAAGGTAAAATTTGATGAAGATGCTTAATTGATCTCCTTTTTGTTGGATGTTAAACGAAAAGTAATGCTCATGTGCATATTTTATTCAATACAGTAAGAATTATTGTACTTTGTAAGTTATTAGATTATTATTGATCTCTGTTTTCCTACTGGTTATTTTGAAATTTGTAGAAAGAGATGATGGTTTGCCATCATTCATTCGCATTTTATCTTTCAAAACTTTTAGAAATAATGTTTTGATTTGACTGGACATATTCTTGACTTGCACTGGGAATGTTCTTTATTTCTCTTGTGGTTAATATTGAGCAATCCTTGTCTTTGCTGACTTGTTAAAAATGGGTTGACTTGCATGAATCTTTGTCTTTTGTTCTCTTGGTTTACCCAGCTTAACATTCTTGACTTTTTAGAGAAGTTTTGGTGGCATGCTTAGGTAGAAGGGGAAGACCCATGTTTTCTTTCATCCAGTACCTGCTCTTTTCTCTACACTCTCTTTCCTTTAGCTCTGTCTTTCTTGTTTCTCCTTTCTTTTTTTTCTTCTTTTTTTTTCGTAAGTTTTACGGCGCTGGCAACTGCATAAGGCCATATGAGCGCACAGGACACATTAAACACTTTCAGTGGGTAGGAAATTTTTAATTTCGCCTAGATGGCGGCCGAAGCCTACTCTTATCGATTTTGGACCACCAAGGGATATTAAACCTGTGCAGCTTGCACACGGGACCTCCAAGATTTTTCACCCATATCCGAGAAGGCTAGGTGTTAGATCTTACCTACTATTAGATCAGGGATGTGGCTGAAAGACAGCAGTAAGAAGTAGCCAAGGAATAGCAGTAGAAAGGTTTCAGAAAGAGTCAGGAGCTTAGAGGAGGGGGCGAAGGAGGTGAGGGGGTGGGGGCAGTAAGTGAAGATGAAAGCAGACAATAGAACTTTGTTATAGAGCAGGAAAGGAACTGATAGGAGAAAATTTTAGAGAAGAAAATTTTCCGTTGCTATCCGTATTCAAACTCAAGACCTATTGAATGAGAGGCGAACACCATAACCTCTCATCCACGAGAGCCCCCTTGTTTTTCTTTCCTCACTTATTTTGTTTTCCGTTTTTTTTATTGTCTGCTTGATCAGCGCCTGTGGTTTGGCACCTCGCCGCCATGTGCAGGAGACATGATTTTGATATCCCATGTGGGGAGGTCATTTTCCTCAACAAGTATATCTGTCTGTCTGCTGGGACATTGTATTCATCTTAGCTTGGGTTGGCCCTGACAGGCAGGGTCAAAACTTGCCTTGTGAATTTTCTAAAAAATAGTATCGATGGGTGCATAACACTTCTACCGTAGCTAATTTTTTTTTTTACGTTAGCCTGGACAGGTTGTTGATATGGTCTGCTTCTTTTATTTTATTTTCCTCTGATACTCTTATCTTGGCTAAATGCTGTCTCTGTCTTGCTGACTCACAGCATGCTGCTGTCTGAATGCCTGCCTTTTCTTCTCGGTCTGCGACACTGACTGCTGTCAGAGCAATTCTAATTCGCTGTGGTTGCTCCTGCATTCAATTTCTTTAACATGTTTTCGCACTAAAAAAAGAGTACATTTCATTTATTGACTTTAATGTGTACCATGAATGATATAGCTTATTTTAGAGACGACTAAACCAAGTCAACACAGTCTTACCTTTCACATGAAAAAAGAAATTACCGAAATTTGGAATAGTTTAAAATGTCAGCGATTCTGATTTCATCTAATTGGAGGTATAGAGTGGACATGGTTGCCCCCAAGCTGTAGTTTCCCAATGTGACTGCATGCAGTTGTATTTTCCCCAATAGATTTTCAAGTGTGCTTTGATATATGCAATCAGGCAAAGTTGTCGCTTTTCAGGCCAATGTGTTCACAGTACTGGGTGGAGTTTATATTGTTTGTTGCAGTCTCCTGTAGCAGAAATGTGCTTATTTATGCCATACCTCCTGTATGTGCCTGTGCGCTTAATATGTTCCTATAAATGTTAGTAAATTCATGCATATTTGTAGGAATAACTATTACTTGATCTATTGAGGGTGGCAGCTCTTTTATATCTCTAACTTCATTCTTTTTTTTATTGATTTGAATTTTAGAAGAACTTTGCAGTGTTGTGGTGCTGGGTTTCAACTCTTTAGTGTAGTGAAAGATCTAGTGCTGCTCTAGTTCTTCCTAGAGCCCCTGTCTTGCAAGAAACCCAAAACAGTAAAAAAAAAAAATATGCCCAAACAATGTTACGGCTTTGCTCAATTTTTTTTTTCTTTAAAAAAAAAACAACTCCCAAAACAATATTGCTTTTCTATTGACTGTTCCTCCTCTCACCAGATCCGTGCATGGAGTTTTGCTATTTTTACCCGTTTCTGCTGTGTGTTGATCTGTTGTTGGTGTTTGTGTGTGAGGTTGTGAGGTGAAAAGCTGTAGGAAAGACTATCCTTACTTACAGTCTTGTCTTGTTTTGTGGTGTGACTATTTCAGTCGGCAGCTTACCTGAACGGAGAGGAGGCCACTAGCAATGGGATGCAGGAACTGGAGGTGCTATTTGTTGTTGTGAACTGACGCTTTCATTTTTGTGTTTTGTATGAATAATAATTTATATCTCGGCTTATTGTCAGATAATACAAGTAATTTATTCCTCAAGAGAAATTGCTCACTGATGTAGTACTGGTATGGCTTTGGCAAGAGGAAGAGTTCATTTTTCTGTCTGACAATAAGGTGTGAGATTTATTTTTTAAAATCCCATCCCATACTGAGACATTTTTTTAGTGGGGTTTGACCTTCAGAATGCTTTTCGACTTATTTCAGGCCTTGGCTATTTCATTTATTCATTGGACCTATCAATTCCTATTTGCTTTTGTAAGTAAACATACGCAGAAATCCCATAAAATAAGAACATAATTTTTTTTTAAATGGCACAGCACTCTTCATTATGAAATGGAAGCCATGAGTTTCATGTGGGAAATGATCTTAGTAGTGATCAGGAATTGAGGTTGAACTATTTATCTTAACAGATTTGTGTTGTCAAAGGCACATTTTTATTTACTGTAGACATAAGAAGTCTGTGGCACTAGCAAAACTTTCAAATATTTCTGTACAGAGGTAAGGTATGTGGTTTCATCGAGTTATGGGATGAAATATTTTTCTTTTGTGCCAATGTCTTCTTTGTTTTATAGCGTCTTAATGTGCATGAATGCAAATCTTGTGTGAAAATGGGGAATAAATCTGTCATCAGCATGCCTGATGCTGAAGTAAACATGACAAGGGGTTTATTGTGTGCAGAGTTATTGCAACATTTTCAAGCATGCTTTATTGTGCATGCAAAAAAACCCCAAAACATTTCTCCTCTGCATCATGAGAAATTTGTCCTTTTAAAAGAAATGAAAATTGGAAGTGTAAGCATGTGAGTGTGTTTTCAACAAGATTTACTTGAAAAATTGTCTAGTTTGGTTTAGCTAATTATTATTTTCTCTTGGTTAATGCACTTGGTGGAGGGAAAAACAGGTTGTTGTTTTTGTTTTTTTCCTATACTCTTCCACGACGCAAGTTTGTTTTCTGATTTTGATATTTAGTGTTAATCATCTGGAGGGATTTTGCACTCTGTTTCGTCTCTGATCCAGGTCAGTTTTAGTTACAAATGTAATATACATTGAAAGTTAGATTCATTTTATGATATGAAGTCTTGTATTCGTAGATCTTTTAGATTTTTATTCAAGTGGAGATTAAATTTTATCCAGGGAAAGTAATATCTTTTCTATCAAAATTCCACTATTTTTTCATACTGAAACGTTTACTAGTTCTGTAGCTACATACACCAGAATCTTTCTCCTCACCCCCGCCATTTAAAATTGTAAAATTAATTTTTCACTACAGCTTAAGATCTGAATTTTTATATTTTTCGTAAACCATCAAATATCCAGTTTACTAGCACTAGCATACCGGTCATATGAACAGAAACATGAAAACAAAAGAGTAGCCGAGTGCCGATAGGGTATAAATCCCTTTGAACGTTGGAATAAGAAGTCTTACAGTAGTTTCTCCGATGAGAACATTTTCATTTTGAAGTGCCTGCTAGTCTCCTCAGATACTCAAAACTTTTGTATCATTAGATGTCTGCTCACAGTAAGAAGTATTTTATGTGGGTTGTAAATGCAATTGCGTATGACAGATCCATGCTTTTTATGTTTTGTTTCTGTTTTTTGCCGCCTGCTTGCTTAGCTTTTGTCGTCCGTGTACTTATGTTTTACGGAAATATTTGAGAACACGCATGACATTTGTTGTCTGTATAGTCGAAAAAGCATTCCTGTTTCCAGATTTTAGATTTTGTCAGTTAAATGGAAAGTTTTGGATGTCTGGCTTAAACTTATATATATATAAGAAAATTATAATAACTTATTCACTCACTTTTTAAAATTATTACAGTTAGTGTTTGTTCTACCTGCCTTTATTCTGTCAAAAGATAACTTTGTGGTCTCTCAACTCTCTTATGAGTGTTACTCCGATTCAGTTGACGTGCTATATATTTACAACAAAGTTCTTGTAGTAGTGCTCTCTCTGGATGAAGCATACACCCAGCTACAAACTACATTTTCCCATTTCTCAAGTCTCTAGAGAATGTGAATGATTGGATGATATTATTGACAAGAGGTCTTACTTTACTGCTGTCGTTCCGCTGGATTTCTCTGCCTGTCCAGACTTCACCAGCTTGTAATGACCATCATCAAATCAAATTTTGTAATATCTTTTAGTCAAACACGTGTGAATCTAGGATACGCATGTTAGTGGGGACATTGTGGTATTGAAAGTGAGTGTCTTATACTTCTGGCTTTACTGCTGTTATTTGTCATCAATGAGTGGTTGGAGGGTGCCTTTAGTAGGTTCCAATCCTTTTCTTTCAATCAGTTGATTCTGTTTGTCTTTCTTGCTTTTTTTCTTAATAATAATTGACTGTCAACATGCCTTTATACTTCCCTTTGCTCTGACCAGATTGTTTTTTATTATTCTGAGCTAGTATTCAGGTTGTTTCTTGTTTTTTTCTGATACAGGAGAGGAACAGAGATCTGGCAGCCCTGTTGGAGAAACATTCACAGGCAAACGAACAGTTGAATCTACAAAACCAGCAGCTTGTGAGTTGTGCTGTGCTAGTAAATCTTTAATTTTAGTGGGATTGGGGGTGTATGTGTATGGGGTTGGGGGGAGGGTGTATATTGGATGTGTGCGTTTTTATGGAGGTTTGTATGTGTGTGTTTGGGGGGGGGGGGGGAGAAGTGCTCTTAAGTTGTATGTGCAAAAGTGTTTTGTATGTACGTGAGTGTGGAAGAGAACTGCATTTTATATTGAGTGTCAAAGTGTTTGCATAATCTGGGTAGTATCTGAAGAAAAAGGAAAAAAGCAGTAATACCATTTGTTGGCTTGTTATGGAGTTAAGAGAAAAATATCAGTGTGGGCTCGTGTCACTCTAGCGTATTATTGTATAACTTTTTATCAATTTGTGAAGATTGTTTTTCTAATTGAATGTGCTAAGGGCTGACGCTTTTAAGAGCTAACTGTTTAGAAGTTTTGTGTCTTTTTTTATTTTCCTGGTCCACAAGATGAGCAAGGGGCCCTTCTTGCATGTAATTTAAAACAATGTACAGCAATGTCATGTGAAACGTTATAGTATCTTCTCCATAGAATAGTCTCTTACCAGGTTGTTTGAGATTTAACTTTTCAATCTTTTCAGTCATTGTCCCTCCTATAGACTGGAACTGAATCAGAGAGCTTTGCTACATTGCCAGAGTACTTAGTTTCAGAAATACCAAAACAGGGATGATCGTTTCAAGTTCAAGTGTCTCACCAACTGAGTACATATCCATGAGTATAAGATTCATCGAGGTGTATCAAGTTGAAAGTATCTGATCGTTTCTCTTTCCAGCGCGAACATTCCAAATCCTTACAAGATCAGCTGGAGACTGAGAGGAGCTCATTCCATGAAAAACAGAAAAAAGACATTGGGTCTCTCAAGGAACAGCTGCAGGTGAGTGAAACCTAAGAATTGGGTGCTTGTACAGACTGAAAATATGAAGCTGAGGGTAGGAAAATTGAATTTCATAGACTTTGATCATGATGCCGGAGATAATGATTTTGGGCTTCGCAGGCCAAGATCACAGGTGGAGCAAATGATGAAAAAAAAAATAGAGCTGCATTCGCATGGAAAATGGTACTGTGGACAGGATAATTTAAGGAAGAGGGTTTGAATAGCAGAATGACTGAACCGTCTTCCTTACATACAGAAGTAGCTGCATCATTTTTGTCGGGATACAGATTAAAGGTTAGTTACTTTGAGATAAAGGTAGAAGAAATAGACCACTGGCTCACTTCTTAAGACTCACTAACCCACCAATGTAATGGAAGGAAGTTGTGGAGATGAGAGTATTTGTTCGTAAAACTAACTTAAGAGTATAAAATAACATACAGGTTAATGGTAGCTTGTCCCTGTTTGAAAAAAACTAGTATTTTTGTATTCTGTTTCCTTTTGTTTCATTAAGTGAAATAGATGGGTTGGCTAGCTTCCTTTTCTTTTCTCTTTTTTGTATGTGTGTGAACACTGATAGCTCTTGCGTCTCTTCTCTCCCTTTGTTGTTTCTGTCTGTCTGTTATTCTTCTTATCATCACTCATAGACTTGTCAAGTGTATGCGCTTCTCCTTTAGAGCTATTATTTCACTCTTCTCTGCTTTCAGGTTCATATACAAACCATTGGCATTTTAGTAGCTGAGAAAACAGAACTGCAGTCCCAGGTGAACCAATCACAAAGGATAGCAGATCAACGTATAGGTGAGTCTGTGTGTGGGTTTGGGGTGATCTTTTTGTATGTGGATCTGTAGTCTAAGGATAGACTGAAATGATTAAAGGTGTAGGCTTGGGAATGACTGACTAAATGTGTAGGTCGAGGGTGGACTGAGTAAATGTGTAGGCTAGGGATGAACCGAGATGAGAGAACGTGTTGACGAAGGTGTGATAATGTGTTTGCACCGGCGTGTAGAGAAGTGAGTGAATGTGTGGATGACAGGTGTACAGTAGTGAATGAATGTGTGAGTGGTTGGTGGACCGAAATAAATGAATGTGTGGGCAGTGGGTGAACTGAAGTTGGTGAATGTGTGGGATAGTGGTGGACTGACTTGAGTGAATGCATGTGTGGGTATTTGGGGGAGAAAGGG